TACAAAAAGCAAAGCATTTCTAAGTTTCGCAAAGATGACTAACATGGGTCTGCCTGAGGCTGGTTACGATTCCCCAGAGTAAGAATGGCATATTTATATTACAGCTTGATATCTATGCTAGAAAATGTTCCGGCTAAGGATGAAACGCTGCACAATCCCAGAGGACACCATTTTGTAGTCTGCTGTGGATGGCATCCCCTGCAGTTGTCTAATAACAGCCCGCCCCACCTAGCCCAGCCATACAACAGCTTATTGTGCTTGATCATGACCTTGTGGGTTTCTGTGATAAACATATCATTCCTTCCTTGTTACCACTTTCTTAACTTTAAAATGGTCCAAAAAATGCCAAAAATATTCTGTCTTATCCAAACAAATCTTTGTTTTATTGAAATAAAATATAATTGCTGTATTTTTCACATGATCCTATTCTAAGTTAACTTTCTTTTTTATTAACTGGGTAGGATGAGCTCATGACAACAGTGTCAAACAACACCTGATGACTAATGACACACCCTCAGAAGCCCCTGTAATGTGATCACCACTACAAAACAGCTAAGTCCTCGCCCCGTTTCTGATGCAAGAGAAAAACTTGAACCTACTGAAGGCTGCAAAGGTCAGTAATCTGTGGCATTTGCCGAGGACCCTGATGAACTCCAACATGTAAACAAAACTTGGATTCATTCCCCAAATGTTAAAATGAGATTTCGCGCAGCTACGGGATGGAATTATCTGGTTAATCTTACTGTATGTCAGCATTTCCCCAAATGTTTTCCATGGAATATTAAAAGGGTTCCATGGTCAGTAAGCTTAAAATGCCACAACTATCCATCTGGGGGCACCACCATGCACATTAGCCTAAGAAGGCTCTGAGAAGTCAGGTAGTAAGTAAAGAAAGTGGTTTTGTTAACCCAGTGTTTCCCATACTTCTTTGATCACAAAACTGGTATTTTTGTTCTGTTTGGTGGAACATCAGTGACATGAGAAGCATTTGAGAAATGCTACTCAAAGATTACCATGTGTACATGTATTCATTATTTGTAAACAATTAAAATATAATATCCAAATTAAAATAAGATTTCTCTGATGACTGCAGAGTACTAAAACTGTAGTGCCTCAGGGTCAATAAATTTTGGTGGATAGCTTAACTTGGTAAAGTGGCAAAGAAAACACCATTTACTATATATTCAGTGATACCAGAAATAAAGGACAAAAAGCCTGCTTAATAATACTCGCTATCGCTTAGCACATGATTCTCATAAAATGGATAAAAACATACCAATATTTGGGCTGACAGCATTTTAAATGCTCAGTAAGAACATACAACTGCACTTCCTTTAAAATCAGTTTATCAGGAAACAACTAACTGTCTATGACTTCAGGAGCTCGTAGCCTTAACAATAATCTCTCCTCATGTTATTGACATTGATTATCTACTGATACCAAAACAATGGCACCTACTGAAGATTATTACAATACTTACCACATTACAAAAAGAATCCAGACCAATGTTATGTACATACTTAGTACATTCTGGATTAGACCAAGTAAAATTTAACAACAAGCTGAACAGCATTCTATAAAACAAAAACAAAAAGTCAGTTAGGCTAATTCTGTCTGTTTTTCTGTGCTATGGACTCACAGTGAGAAAGAAGACTGTCTTGGAATTTGATGACTGAATCAAATCTGAATTCTTTATCTAAAGGTTATCTACACTTACCTTAAAAGAAGTTCTTTGGGTAACTTTTTGTTAATAAGGCCTTCATCATTATTTGAGAAAACCTAAAAGAAAATAAAAAGAGAAAGTGTTCCTCAAGCAATTAAAAAAAAAAGTTACATGCTTTTTAGATCAGAACAGCCCCAGTCACTGTCCTACATATATGATACTAATTTTATGAAGCCACCACACTTCAATGTTGATAGATACAAAAATAGTTTATACCCTATCACCATTTCATAAAAATAGCAACACAAAGCTATTTCTATACTACATCATATTGGAGATTCTAGCCAAGACTATTAGGCAAGAAAATAAATAAAAGGCATCTTGATTGGAAAGGAAAAAGTAAAACCTCTATTCACCGATGATCATAACCTTGTATATAGAAAATTCTAAAACAATCCATTAGAACTAATCAAGGAGTTCAGCAAGGTTGCAGGATATAATATACAAATATACAATATATTTACATAAAAATAAATTGTATTTCTACACATTAGCAATGAACAATCTGAAACTGACATTAAGAAAACATTCTCAATTACAACAGCATTAAAAAGAATAAAATACTCAGGAATAAACTTAACTAATGAAGTGCAAGACTCATATATTGCCAACTTATACAAAACATTGTTGAGAGAAATTTTAAAAGACAAATATACTCACATCCCATGTTCATAAATAGGAAGATGTAATAGGGTTAAGTTAGCAACATTTTTTGAACTGATCCATGGATTTAATGAAACCTCCAGCAAAATGCCAACTGCCTTTTTTTTCTTTTGAAAACTGAAAAGTTGATCCTAAAATTCATATAAAAATGCAAGGGACCTAGAATAGCCAAAATACAATCATGTGCTGCATAACGACCGTGGTCCCATAAGATTATAATGGAGTTGAAACTTTCCTATTGCCCTACTAACATCGTAGCCAACGAAACATTCCAGAACAATGAACAATGCAGTACTCCTGTGTTTGTGGTGATGCTGGTATACAGTGTTATCAAGTGTATAGTAAGTGTACAATGATGTCCTAGGCCTTCATCTGCACTAACCACTCCACTTAGGAGCAGTAGGCTGTACCATACAGCCTGGGTGTGTGGTAGTCTAGACCTTTCAGGTTTGTGTAAGCGCACTTTCTCTGATGCTCACACAAAGACAAAATTCCCTGCCAACACATTTCTCAGAATGTGTCCCCATCATTAAGCAACACATAACTATAACCTTGAAAAGGAAAACAAAGTTGGAGGGCTCACACTTCCTGATTTCCAAACTTACTACAAAGCTACAGTAATTGAAACACTGTGGCACTTGCATAAGAATAGACATGTTACATCAATGAAATAGAACTGAGGGTCCAGAAACATACCCTTATATTCATGGACAACTGATTTTTTAAAAGGGCGCTAAGATAATTCAATGGCGGAAAGAATAGTCTTTTCAACAAATCGTGCCAGGCCAACTGGATATCTACATGTAAAACAATAAAGTTGGATCTCTACCTCACATCATGTAATAAAAATTAACTTGAAATGGATCAAAGACCTAAATAATATAAGAGTTAAAACTACAACCCTCCCCCACCCAAAAAATAAACATCAGTCTTGGTGACTTTGAATTATGTAACAGTTTATTAGATATGACACCAAAAGTACAAATAACCAAAGGAAAAAATAGATAAATTGGACTTCATCAAAACTAAAAACCTCTGTGCTTCAAAGGGCATCATCAAGAAAGTGAAAAGAAAAGCCACAAAATAGGAGAAAAGACTTGCAAATCACATATCCGACACAGGGGATATATCCAGAACATGTAAAGAACGATCACAATTCAACAATAAAAAGATAAATAAGACGGTTTAAAAATGAGCATGGGATTGGAATAGCCATTTCTGTAAAGCAGATATGCAAACCACCAATAAATACTTTTTAAAAAGTTCAACATCATTAGTCATTAGGGAAGTGCAAATCAAAAACACGAAATACTTCACAACCACAAGGATGGTTAAAAGGCAACCTCCTTATGCCCCCTCCTATACCAACCATTCTTCCCCTCCCTTGAAGCCCAGGCATCATCTTATCCACTCAATTAAATCCCTTCCATGAAATAAATTCTTAATGCTTAACGATATACAAAAAGCAAAGCATTTCTAAGTTTCGCAAAGCAACCACTAGTACATAACTACAGTAAAATGCTTTTATTTTAGAGTAAATAAAACTCCTAAATTCACAATAGTGAATCAAGGTTGACTGTGGGTCGGAATGGAGGGGGTGGGCGAAGGAGAAGAAAAGGAAAATGGATAACAAGAGGAATATGAGACTTCAGAAAGCTGTGAAAATGAATTCCTCAATATTCTTCCTTTTCTCCTTGCTGTAATTGTAAGGGCTTTTCGCACATAGAACATATAAAAGCATGTCACTGCAAGACTTAAAACATTTAGATTTTTGTAAAATTCATTTTCCGAAACTCTTGCTGGCTCCATTAATTTGTTATTTAAAAGCAATTCAAAATAATAAAGAAACACAAAGTAAAGAAGACATTGCTGTTATTTGGGGGTGATGTTCTTTCTGGGTTATTGACAAGCCACACACCTGGCAGTGTTTTTTCCAGTGTCAGTGAGAGATACAGACTTCTCTTACTATAATACCATGTCTCTCCTTAGTTAATAATTAAAGACAGAGCCAGCCAGGGTTCCAAGTGGTACCTTTTTCTCTCCAAAGGCCAATGGTATTTGGGGAGCAACCTGTATCCTCAGCTTACTAGCACTTCCACCAATCTACACTAAATTACTGATGGTTAAATAAACTGTTTCTTAAAAACACAGGTATTTCCTTATTACCCACACCCTCTCAGATATTCTATACCAAAGGTGTGTCCCCAGCGCCTCTCTTCTTTTACACCCTTTGGAAAGAAGCCTCTGTAGAAATCACACCTTTGGTTGGCAATTCGCTGAATTCTGTCTATTTCAAGCCAACTCCTCGGCTGAATCTTCCAAGTCAGGTTTTAAAAACGAGCGTAATGGGGGCCAGGTAATATATGCCCTATCAAGTTAATTGAATAAAGGCAATGATTTACAGACGTCTACAATGTTCTAACCATGAATTAAATCCCTGAGTGAGGGTGCTGCATTGAGAAAAAAAACAAAAAAAACCTCCAGCTTAATGCCCCCATTTTTTTAAAAAGGGCGGGGGAAATCTCCAAAATTACAAATTTAAATGTCCACATGCTACAAGACCTGTCAGAATGATGAATTTGAAAGAAAAACACATGTATTATATTACTTATATATAATTGCATAGAAATTATATATAAAATTTACAATATTTTGTAAATAGTGCACATAGATCGCAATAAATATAGTGTTAATCTGAATATATATATATACATATGATATTCATACATATCCTTTTTCTTTTTAACCACACCCTCTCTGGGTGGCTTCCCAGGCTCGCCTGAGCCAAATAGCGTCACGCTGTCCGGTGGTCCACTGAAGGGGTCGGGGGGGGGGGACCCCAGCAGCGACCCAGACAGTCAACGGCAGAGACCACAGCGTCGCAGCCGCCCCAGGGCAAGCGGGCGGTCCGCGTCCTCCAGGGTTCCCCCTCCCGGGGGCCCGCCCAGCCCTGCCCAGCCCGGCAGCCCCGCAGGCCTCGGCCCCGACTCTCCGCGCGACCCCGGCGCCACCCGCCCGAACCTAGCAGGCAGCCGCGCAGCGACACAGCCCGAGCGGCGAAGGGCGGGGTGGCGGGACCCGCGTGGGCCCCAGACTCACCATGGCCGAAGAGCCGCGAACGCGCCCACAGCCGGGAGTCACAAGGCGCCGGCAACGCCCGTTGTCCTGGTGACGCCAGCTGGGCGCCCCGCCCCGTCCCTAAGGTGGGCTCGGGAGGCAGCCATTGGCGGACGGCAGGCACATGACGCGCAGGGGCGGTGCCCCTCGGACCGCCCCCTTCGTCCCCCACGCCTCGGCCCTTGGGAGGGGCCTCTTCGCTTCTCCGAGTCTGCATCTGGTCCGTCATCATCCTGATCACCTTGGCATCCCCTCACCTGACGGATAACCCAGCCGCAGACTGCCCAGATGGAAGAGCCCTTTATGGTTTTTTTTTACCTAAGAAACAGATTACACAGGTAATACATGATTATTGAAGACCTTTTAAACTAACTATAACAAGAATTAAAAAAAATAAAACAGCACTAAATTCCAGCACCTGAGGTAACCACTGCTTATATTCCATCTGCCGCCAACAAGATATATATTATAATATAGTGCATGCTTAAAAATGGAAGCAAACCATATGCACTTTTATAATCTATTTTTCAATTAAAAATTGTCTTTGCACTTCAATTCATGGAGTAGCAATTGTGTGCACGCACTCTAATTTATTAAATCAAACAGCAATTTCTTGGATGTTTTTAATATGGCTGAAGGGAACTTTAGATATTCTCAAACCCAGCCCATTAAGTCTGTGAAGAAGAGACATAGTCAACAGACGATCTGACTTCTCCCTTTGAATGTCTAATAGGGATCTCAAACTTAGCCCCAATAAGACAAGTTTCTTACTCTCCAGTCTGCCTCATCTCTGTAAATGTTCCCACTATCCCCTTGGTTGTTCAGGACAAAAACTTACAAATCATCCTTGAGTCCCTCCTTTCCTCATACCTCACATCCAATCCATTAACAAATATTCTTGGTTCTATGTTTAGATGAATCCTGAATCTATCCATTTCTCACCATCTCCACCTCACAGCCACCATCTTTGGGTTTCAGCAGTTTTATTATGATGAGCCTCGGTATGGCTTTCTTTATATTTATCCTTCTTGGCTTTGAATGTCTTCTACTATCTGTGACTTGGTATCTTTTATCAATTGAGAAAAACTCTCAGCCATAATCTCTTCAAATACTTTTCTGCCGCATTCTTACTCTCCTTTCCTCTAGCACTTAAATTATATGGTTGATCTTCACACAGTCTCTATATTATTTTCTTTTTTATTTTATGTATTTTTGCTTTTGTCTCTTTAGGCTTCCTTCTAGATATTTTCTTCCAACCTATGTTCCAGCTCACGAAATCTCTCTTCAGCAATGTTTAATCTGCTATTAAAAATATCCACTGAATTTTTCATTTCAGTTGTAATTTTTAGTTGTAGAATTTACATTTTTAAAATTTTTTATAGTTCCTACTTCTCTGCCATATTTCTCAGGCTTGTCTTTTATCTCCCTGAATATAATGAATAGAATTATTTTAAAGTCTATATCTGATAGCTCCAATATCTTGTTTCTCTATGGTTCTCTTTTTATCATTTGTTGTTTCTGCTGCTGTTCTCATTTTTTTTGTCTCTTGTGTGCCTGTTTTATTTTAATTGTAGGCCAGATATACATTTGCAAAATTGTTTGTAGAGTAATTTGTTCCCCAGAATAATGTATTCTTCTTTGGCATTTGGGAGTTATTTTTTAACATACTATGTTTATAGTAGCTTTTCAAAGATCCTACTGCTCCTCCATTTTTTCCTAATAATTTGATGAATAGCACCACCTAATCAATCCACACAATGCCCTCTGTTCACTGGTAACAGAATCTTTTGCTGTAAATACTGAATCATTCTTTCCATACCTTTTTCCCTTTTGCTCCTGTAGGTACACATTGTACATTTTTGTGGGACCTGGAGAAGCTGAAGTTAAGAATTTGTTTATTTTTTTCATGTGAATGAAGATAAAGTCCCTTAAAAACCAAGTCCAAATAGCTACAGAGCAATTTTTTTATTTGCTCATTTACTCTTACAGAGACTATTTGGCAGGGTCCTCTTAAAAGTCAGTAGACAAGAAAATATACTGTCTTAAAATATAAAGAAAAAAACAGTGGGCTTATAATTACTCTCCCAAGGCTATTTCTATCCATTTCAATAAATGAAAGCAAGCTTGGCTATCTTTTTATGGATGGCATATGAAGTAAACAGGGACTGAGACAGCAGATGGCGTGCCTACCAATCCAAGAGGCAGATAACGCAAGTCTTCGCAGGGTAGGGATGCCCTCCCACCAGTTTTAATTGGGCATTAATTCAGTGTCTGGTGTGTGGGGGGGTCCTCAGTAACTACATGTCTATACAGTATCTCCCTGGCTGTTCTCTCTTGATCCCAACCCAGCTTCATCCCCAGACTTTACCAGTCAACCTCCTTCAACTTGAATGTTCCTTGAGACTGCTTCTCAACTTCTGGCTTCTTCATCACTTATTTGTTGAATGAAAGAATGAATGAAGGGCCGGGCGAGTGGCTCAGTTGGTAAAGAGCTCGCTCAAGAGTGCGAGCTCTGAGCAACAGGGTCACTGGTTCGATTCCCAGCCCAAGCTGAGCTGCCAACAGGTGGCAGGATGGCTCAGCTAAAGAAAAAGAAAGAATGAATGAATGGAGAGGTACGGAATTTGATCATGGTCACAGTACTACCAAGTGGCAGAATCCACTTGTTTCTCTGTTCAGCACTCTGCTACAGGAAATAAAGGAGGAGAGAAACACAAATTACCTCTCTCCCCTTTTCCCAGTACCTATCTGAGTCCAAGTCAATTCTAGGTAAGTGCCTGGAAAATTGTTATGTGTATATTCCTATAGATGTGTATATACTGTCATTTACAGGTGACTTAACCTAATTATTGTTGCTTGCTAACTTAGCAGTGAGTGGTTTTATCTTCCAATACATAATATTAAAAAGAGAAAATATTTGCACATAGCTTGATTTATATCTTCAGACAGTAAAGTGAGGCTCCAAATGAATAAAAAATATTTAAAGTATATGAGTTGGTAATGTCTAATCATTATGTTGTTTTGTATACCTGAAACTAATAAAAAATAAATGAAGTATATGAGTTGGTATGTTGAACAATGGTGATACATGGATTGTGATCAAAGCACAAATTTATTCTTACCTCCTGTTCCTTTGAACATTATTTAATGGGGATAATCATCGCTGTTCCCCAACTCCCAGTGGGTTTATTGGTTTTCTTTTTCCACTTTAAGGTAATGGCCCCACTACCACTTAAATTTACAAATACAGTTTTGTTTCAGAAATTGGCACTAGACACAATTATTGAAATTCATAAATTTGCTTGGGATTTAGTCATCTCCCCTCCATCTGTTCAGGCTCCCATGTCCCTTGCATCTCTGTTTTGGAAATTCCTAACATCTCTTTGCTCAGCCCTTGGGCAGCTTATAAGTTCTGACAATTAAGCTTGTGAACTTGTACCAATGATGATGCTAACCTTTTCTGATATCAGAGGGATTATTCATTATGAATTTGTACCAACTGGACAAATAGTTAATCAAGTTTACTCTTTGGAAGTGCTGAAAAGGCTACATGAAAAAGTTAGACGACCTCAATTGTTTCGCCAACAATTCATGGCTCTTGCATCACAACAATGCACCAGCTTACACGGCACTGTCTGTGAGGGAATTTTTAGCCAGTAAACAAATAACTGTGTTGGAACACCCTCCCTACTCACCTGATCTGGCCCCCAGTGACTTCTCTTCTTACCCAAAGATAAAGGAAATATTGAAAGGAAGACATTTTGATGACATTCAGGACATCGAGGGTAATTTACAACACCTCTGATGATGGCCACTCCAGAAAAAGAGTTCCAAAATTGCTTTGAAGGGTGAACTAGGCACTGGCATTGGTGCATAGCTTCCCAAGGGGAGTACTTTGTAGGTGACCATAGTGATGATATTCAGCAATGAGGTAGGTAGCGCTTTTTCTAGGATGAGTTCGAGAACTTAATTGTCCGACCTTGTACATAAACCTCTATACTCTTCCTGTTAAAGTCTCTTTGCCTTTCCAAATGGCCTTGTGTGGCAGGACCAAGACAACCTCATGCCAACTCTCTTTCCAGTGGAGTCCACTTTCGGTCCATGCTGTGACAAATTTTGGGAGCATGGATGTGGAGACTCTAGGTTGGCCAACATTCTAGGTTAGGAGACATTCTAAACAAGAAGAAAACCATGCATGAGGAAAGGGGCCATTGGACCCAAACAGAATAATGGAAGTCTCCTTAGAAGTCCAGTTTCCATTGCTGGGCTTTACTGAACAAGAAATGGAAGACAAAGGAATGATTATCCCAACTATAGGTTGATGATCGACTAAGAGTAGAATTCAGTTTTCTGATGGCTGGGCATCTTGGGTCCTTCTGTCACACTACTTCTCAAAGTAAACTTAAAACAATCTATGCCTTTGCTACACTACAGTAAAAAGCAAAATCAACATATCGGCTAAGATGAGAGATATTTAATATGTCACACCATTAGGTTGGCTTTTTCCTGCCTTCTTACCATGTCCCATGTATATGATGACCATTCTTCTGGAAACAAAGATTTGGGTACATAGCCTGACAAGTACATGTATATCAATGGGTACAATAGGACTGTATTAATAATACACGAATTATCTCAGGGAGAGCTGAGATGAATGGTCCCCAGAATAGCAGTCATCATGTTTAATGGCTATGAGTTCCACAGGAAATTTAGTGGAGGTGGTTGGGTTGCTCTGCTTTCCCGGAGCAAAGGGACACAGTTCAGTGGTTATCTGAGATCTTTAAAGTGAGGCTCTTAATGTTAGGCATGATAGAAGATGGGAGTATACTTAACTTTCCTGCTGCTGTAAATTAGCCTTGCTCAATTCACCTACTCTTTATTGGGCTTTTACTCTGTGCCATGTACTGAGCTAGAGGCTAGATACAAAATAAGACACAGCCTTTTCCCTCAAGTGGTTTACAGAGTGATGCAATGTGCTAAGGTACCACACATGTAGAGATTATTGTGGATATCCATTTTATCTGTAGGAAGTTTTAGATTTACAAAGTAATTCCGATCTCAAGAACCCTGTATGTTAGGTAGCAC